CCAGTGAACTCCAGGAGGAATGGGGAGTCACTTGGAGCTGCCATTCTCCATTGTGACTCAAAGCAGGAGGAAGAGATTTGTTGACCCACACTGTGCACATATAGGACAGTATTAACGTGGCTCAGTGTGCCACAATCCCACGTTTCTCTGTGTCACAAGGAGCTGCCTTCAAGTCCCACTCCGGTAACATGTGAATCCCTAACCTTGGGGCTACTATCTCTCTGACTAAATCTTAGAAAGGGGATTCGGAAAAGCAATTGAAGAGAAAAGATTTCCAAGGCAAGGGCTGAGGTGTGAGATTAGTTGTCTTGCACTTGCCTGAATACAATGGGCCAAATGGCCTCCTTCTGTTCTCTTGCCATTCTGCAATCTGTTAACTGAAAGCATGTCGGACTTCTCAGGTGTGTATAAAAGGTTTCAGGGCTGCTATTTCAATGAAATGCAATGAAAGCTCTCCCCAGTGTCCAGGGGCCACAATGCATCCTTCAAACAACATCATGGAAAGAGATTTATTTTCCAGTGCTCCAGAGATCACATTGTGTCTGTTGATGTTAACTGGTATATTGCTGACCTTTCTAAGATGCAATCTCTTCCCAAGCCTCGGATTGATAGAGAGCCGTCAGCACATTTCAGTATGTCTCTACTTCCCTTATTTCTCCTCCCCATCCCCCAAAACAGCCCACCCTTGCACCTCCCTGCAGTCAGAAAGACGAAGGGGCATGCAGAATGCAAGGATACAAAGAAAACAAACGCTGAACTAAAACTTCCCATTCCATAAACATTTCTTTCAAAAAGCCTGAAGCCAGTCTGTTTGGCAGGACTGAAATACACATTGCATATTCCAAACCAATCAGCTGCACCGTAACAGAGCTGTGAATACTTGGCGACTTTGTAATTTGGAGCATGAGGTTTGTGCAGACAATGTCATTGTGGGATAAAACCACGTAGACTGGGCTGAGGAGAGATCTCTTCACCTCAGAGAGTGGTGGACATTTGGAATTCTCCAGTCCAAAGAGCTATGGCTGGCCAATTATTAAGTACATTCAAGGCAGAGATCGATAGATTTTTGATCTCTCTGTGAATCAGGCAATAGCGGGATGAGGAAGGTTTGTAGAGTTGGAAGATCAGTCATGATGATATTGACGTTGGAGCATGTTCATAGGGCCAAATGGGCCTATTTCACATCTTCTGATGTTCTAATAACACAGTGTGGAGCTGGAGGAACACAGCAGGCTGGGCAGCATCTCAGGAGCAGGTTTCGGGTCAGGACCCTTCTTCAGAAATGGGGCATTTCTAAAGAAGGGTCCCTACCCAAAACGTCAGCTTTCCTGTTCCTCTGATGCTGCCTGGCCTGCTGTGTTCCTCCAGCTCCACACTGTGTTATCTCTGACTCCAGCATCTGCAGTTCTTACTATTTCTGATGTTCTAACGTTTGGCTGGAATTTGGACAAACAGACTTTAACCAGACACGTATTCCCCTCCCAGTCAGCAGGGACTGTTCCCTCTGGGATACCCTGGTCCAATCCCAATACCCCTCCCACACTCCCACAGCACTTTCCCATGTAACACCTACCTGTTTATCCCATGTAACACCTACCTGTTTACTTGCTCCCTCCTCACAAAACAAGGCCCCAGTCACACCTTCCATTGCACTTCACTCAATCTAGTCCAGTGTATGGGCTGCTCATAATGTGGTCTGCTCTACACTGGGGAAACGAAGTGGAGACTGGGTGACTGCTTTTGTGGAACATCTACATTCTGTCTGAAAAAATGACCCAGAGTTTCTAGTTGCCTGCCACTTCAACACACCACCATGTTGCTTGCCTAACGTCTGTGTCGCAGGCTTGCTGCGGTGTTCCAGTGAAGTTCCGCGCAAGCTGGAAGGACGGCATCTCATTTTCTGCTCAGGGACCCTGCGGCCCTCCGGACTCAATACTGAGTTCAACAATTTGAGGGTCTGAGCAGATTCTCCCATATCCCTTGCCCACCATACACCCCAGGCCCTTTCATCACCATGGGATGCTTTCATTTTCACCTGCTTACATTATCAGCTTTCCTTTCACCCTGGCAGACTATCAACCATCCCTTCATCTCCCTAACTTCCTTCTTTTCTCAGGGCTCCATGTCCACCCATCTGCTCACTCCTTTTCCCTCACGTCCTCCACCCCAAACACCTACCCCCCATGTCTTCAGCGTATATACCACCTTCTCACAGCTACGATCAGCTCCAAAGTAGGATCACCAAACTCCAGACGTTAACTCTGTTTCTCTCTCCACAGATGCTGCCAGACCTGCTGAGCTTTTCCAGCAATTTCTGCTTTTATGTCAGTAGCCACAGTACTTGGTTTTATTTTGGGTTTTAATAGGTGTCTTAAAAAGCGAGAAAAAAAGAAGTTGCAAGAGAGCCGGAGAGGTTCATTGAAGAAATCCCAGGAGTTAGGGTGAAGGTAGCTGAAGGCACAATAGCCGGTGATGTAGTGACAGAATCCAGGTGTTCTGCAGGGAATTGTGGAAGCACAGAAATCACAGGGAGTTACATGACTGGAAGAGGTTGTGAGAAAAGGAGAGGTGCACTGAAAAGTTACACAATTCACTCATGATTGGGTGCTCGGTGAATCAGTAATTGCAGAACTGCAGATTACCCGTGATCCTTCATCTGCTTCCTTACAAAGTATGTGACGGACTGTCAGAATAAAATAAACTACCCATTGCAAGAGTGTGTTATGAGTATTGCAATAATCCGATTTTATGACGATTAAGGTGATTAGTGTATGAATAGGCTGGGACTATTTTCCCTGGAGTGTCGGAGGCTGAGGGATGACCTATAGAGGTTTATAAAATCATGAGGGGCATGGATAGGGTGAATAGCCGAGGTCTTTTCCCTAGGGTAGGGAAGTCCAAAACTAGAGGGCATAGGTTTAAGGTGAGAGGGGAAAGATATAAAAGGGATTTAAGGGGCAACTTTTTCATGCAGGGGGTAGTGCATGTAGGAATGAGCTGCCAGAGGAAGTGGTGGGGGCTGGTACAATTACAACATTTAAAAAGCATCTGGATGGATTTATGAATAGGAAGGGTTTAGAGGGATGTGGGCCGAATGCTGGCAAATGGGACTCGATTTATTTAGAATATCTGGTCGGCATGGACAAGTTGGACGGAGGGTCTGTTTCCATGCTGCACATCTCTATGACTCCATAATTGTATGAAGTGAAATAATTCACAGTGACACACTTTTTTATTCACCTGTGGGACATGGGCATCTCTGGTTGGGCCAGCATTTATTTTTTATCTCTCGTTACCCCTTCAGAAATGATGGTGACTTGCCTGTTGAACTGCTGAACCCCTTGTACTCTAGGTTGACTCACAATGCCGTTAGGAGGGAGTTTTAGGATTTTGACCCAGTGACAGTGAAGGAACCGCGATATATTTCCAAGTCATGGTGGTGAGTGGCTTGGAGGGGAACTTGCAGATGGTGGTGTTCCCACGTATCTGCTGGCTTTGTCCTTCTAGACGGAAGTTGTTGTGAGCCATGTGTACCGTCAAAATGCTACACTGCAGAAATTCACCAAAGCTCCTGTCATAACACCTTCCAAACCAAGGATCTCTACCCCAGTATGTCAAGGGCAGCAGATATATGGGAACACCACCCCCAACAAGTTCCCTCCCAAGCCTCTCACCATCCTCACTCGGAAATATATCGCCGATCCTTCACTGTCATTGGGTCAAAATCCTGGAATTCCCTCCCTAAGGGACATTGTGGGTCAACCCACAGCAGGAGGACTGCAGCAGTTCAAGAAGGCAGCTCACCACCACCTTCTCAAGGGGCAACAAGGAACAGGCAGTAATTCCTAAGAAAGCCAGTAATGTTGACATCCCATGAATGAATAACAATAAGTAATTGATCTGTGGCCACCGTTTACAGAGAAGTTCTTTCTGAGCCCCCAGTTTGAACACTTCCCAAGCACGACAAACAGTAGATTTTCTGGACCTTTTCATATTAGTGTTGGTAGGAGCTTGTTCTACATTGCGACAATGATTGCATTGGCTGTCAAGCACTTTGGGACATCTGAAAGGTGCTACTTAAAGCTAAGAGTCATTTAATTCTTTTTAATGGCACCTGCTTGTAACAGGTGGCTAGGCATGAGAACCTGCTGGTCTAACCGAGCAAACCTGATGGTTTTAGTATTCCCAGTCTCATGGAGACTATTGAGAGTAGGTGTTGGTCTACTTTGTTCGGACAGGTGGATTACAGCAGCCTGGAAGTCATACAGTGCCTATCAGAGCATCGCAGAAAAGCAGTTCTTTGTTGGCTTGGATAGCTGCTTTTTCATGCAGAATAATGCCCTACAGCTTAGCTTCAGTTCCTGCATTGGCTGAGGTTATCACGAAGGCCTTACCCTCTCCCAAGGTGTGGTTACCCTCAGGTTAAACTCGCCACCAGCCGCTTCTCTCTGATGAGCGAGCAGTCCTCTGGGACAATGACAACAACTGCCACGAACAATAACCCGGCTTCCAAACCTGCGGTGCTTGTCAGCTCGATCGTCACCTCCTTTTGAAATCTTGTCAGAGGCACACTGAAGAAGGAATCAAACGGACATTAAATATGGAGGGGTTGCAAGGGAAGTGATTGACAAACTGCTAACCACAGCATTTTCCAAGTAATTGCATGGAACCAGTGTTTATTTAGCAGGGCATGGGTTAAACCAGTAACTGGTGTCGTTAAATAGTGAGAGATGAAATTGCTGTAGCATCTTACTGTAAATACTTTATTACCTCAGTTAAGTTTAGCACCTGCCATTGTGCCTTTCTTTATGAATTCATAAATGTCTTCAGGATATCGCCTACATTGGATAAAAAATAGAAAGTGGTTTTAATTATCCTTTTGCAGGTCTAATCCATGCAAGTTTACAGCGAGTAAGATAGCATCAACACTGTATATGGTGTACAATCTTTACTTAATTCACCAGCCTTGACAATTTATGTTTTTCATTTGCTGTTAACAGCCCCTTCAGGAGGGTGACACTTTCTTCGGAATGTGCCTGGAATATTACTCCAGCCTTCGAGAGGGAAAAAAAGATGTCACATAAAATAAAAGCGTTTTACATCGAATGCCATCCGTGATTTATCGCTATAATTAGATTGTTCGAGGAGTGGGACAGCCAGGTGGCAGGAGTTTTATTTCTCCTTTTCTAATTCCTCCTTTTCAAAGCCCCCCGCTGCTGCCCCCAACTCACCGAAGCAGTCACCAATCCGAGTTGCAGTTCCGTTGGTGGTGCACGGCCCTCTCCTCAACTGGTGGCTATTCAACTATAGTGTCAGCACGTTTGTACCAAAGCAATGCCTGTCTTCTCCTGCATGACCCGCATTGGAGAAATGGAAGGGGTCAAGCAAGGGGGTGAAATTGGAGGGTGGAAATGCGTTCGCAACATATAAAATACACTTTGATTACCTTAAATTTGGCTTTGGGGTGAAATGTTTATCTCAGGTGCTAGTCAATCTGTTGGGTAAGGCGTTACAGACACCTCAGAGTGAACAGCAGGGCTTGTGGAATCTTACTGTGCTGAAAACTTTCCAGCACTTAAAATAAGTAGGGTGACATAATGACTCAATAGTTAGTATTCTGCCTCACAGCACCGGGGACCCGAGTTCGAGTCCAGCCTTGGGCAACTGACTGTGTGGAGTTTGCACATTCTCCCTGTGTCTGAGTGGGTTTCCTCCACGTGCTCCGGTTTCCTCCCACAGTCCAAAGATGTGCAGGGTAGGTGGATAGGCCATGCTAAATTGTCCACAGTGTCCAGGGATGTGTAGGTTAGGTGAATTAGCCATGGGAAATGCAAGGTTAAGGGATAGGGTGGGTCTGGGTGGGATGCTCTTCAGAGGGTCAGTGTGGATTCGATGGGCCACATGGCCTGCTTGCACACTGTAGGGATTCTATGTATAAAGGGAAGCAATAAGACACTACATACAGGCAATCTGTGTTTATTATAGAACCTTCTATGCAGTGAAACATGCCAAGCTGTTGCATAGGAAGGCATCAAACAGGTTTGACGGTGAGCTACATGAGGAGATATTTGTTCATATAACCGTATGTTTGATTAAACAGTTATGATTTAAACCATCTCAAAGGAGGTGGGAGGCAGAAAGGTTGAAGAGGGAATTCCAGAATTGAGGGCCAAGCCAGCTAAAGAACATGGCTACCATAAGCAACATAGAAAATAGGAGCAGGAGGAGGCCATTCGGCCCTTCAAGCCTGCTCCACTATTCAGTATCCAACTCAGTCCCATGTTCCCGCATTCTCCTCATACTCTTTGATCCCTTTAGCCCTACGAACTGTAGCGATCTCACAAGGCATCATGGCGAAGTGATTAAAATTGGGGACGTTCAAGAGGTTACAATTGGAGGAGTTCAGAAATCTATGATTGATCTGAAGCTGGAGGAGACTGCAGACATAGTGGTGCTGAGGGGAGAAATGGGGCCATGGAGAGATTTGAACATAGAGAGGAAAATTTTAAAATCCGCTTCTCATGGAGATTGAGAATGACCTTAAGGACTTACAAGCCACAGTCCTTCCCCTTAAACTTAGTTTGCTGGCCCAAGTGATTTCCATTATCAGTACACAAAGCTGTTAGTCTCTCAAGCCTGTTTATACTGAGCCTTCACCAAACTATCTGTTGTATTTGTTCTGCCTTATTTCCTAACTCCCACAGTCTATTAAAGTTACTCAAGAGACTATCAGAGAATGGTTCAACGATCAATCAGTAATTCATTACTTGCTTTGCAAATGTTTATCAGTCAAGAGGAAGAGGTAAACATTTGTCTTGTCAAAGGTGATAACAGTTGGCCTTTACAGAGTATTTGGCATTTGTTCCCAGAGGACTGAACTGGGTTCTTTTACAACAAACCCAATTGACTCATCTTCTCTGGGTTATAGCCCCACTATTAGAGGCAGCAAGGTCAGGAACCTTAAAGGAGCAGGGAACAGCATTTACAAGTTCAACAAGCAGGCCCCAATAAGAATAGCGCAGGGTGCAGGTTGGCCCATATTGAGCATATTATCACTCAGGCCCCTGTTCCTGTGCTGCATACACCACACACTGTAGAGAATTGGTTTAACTCAGTTGGCTGGATGGCTGGTTTATGAGATGCAGTGATATCAACAATATGAGTTCAATTACTGCACGAGCTCAGGTTACCATGGAGGGCTCTCCTTCTTAGCCTCTTCACCTTGCCTCAGACACAGTAACCTTCAGGTTAAGCTGCCAATTCCTCAAATGAGCGAGCAGCCCCGCAATCAGGCTAGTTTTACAATTTGTCATCGAGCTGTACAGGCTTCCTCTCAAAAGGTTTTCAGTCTTGCACCACCTAACATTATTATTTCAGTTTGTAGCATCTTGTTTTAGTTGTATTTTTAGATGTCTGCGAATACCAGCTCAGGATGAAGCTGCTGCCACCAGGTGTAGGGTTTTAAACAAGAGTCATGTTAGACTCAAAACGCTAACTCTGTTTCTCTCTCCATCAGACAGCCACACCTGCTGAGTTTCTCCAGTACTTTTTGTGTTTGTTTCAGATTTCCAGTATTTTGCTTTTGGTGAGGAGCTATAGGTCCAACTTGGACTAATGTAGCAGAGGAAATAACTCCCTGGTCTAACTAGAATAGATGTGGAGGTGCCGATGTTGGACTGGGATGGACAAACATAGAAGTAACACGCCACCAGGTTGTAGTCCAACAGGTTTATTCAAAATCACAAGCTTTCGGAGCACGGCCTCTTCATCAGGTGAACTCTCTAAGTAGGATTTAAACCTACTTAGAGAGAGTTGAGCTGACGAAGGGGCTGCACTCTGAAAGCTTGTGATTTCAAATAAACCTGTTGGACTATAACCTGGTGTGGTGTTTCTTCTAACTAGAAGAGCCCCATGTAGCTCAGATAAGTTTCATTGTGGTTTATTGGATGTTAGCAGCTAGTCACAGATCACAATGATCAGATAGCTACTGTTACAGAGACTTTGAGGAGGATCTGGTTGTATGATTTCAACTGCCTCAAGAATCTAACTCTGGTCTCAAATCTATGTGGTGTCATCACAGTGAGTGGTGATAATGCAACCCCTCTTTATTAATTCTTTCAGACCCATATGCAACATGAGCAGATCAGCACAGAAATAGCCTTCTTTCTATGTTACTGTCAAACTTGATCTCATCATAAACTTTCCACTGCATACCTGAGGCATCACTAGAGATGTCCTATTCCAGCCATGTCACATTGGCTGACACTGCCTCTATCACAGCTTATGGGCTGCTCAAGCCCTCATCAATTCTCTTATTATTTCTAGCCTTGACTATTATTGCTGGCTGACACTTTACATTCCAGCATCCAGGACATGCATTCATCCAGAACTCAGCTACTTGTGTCTAAACTCGCCCCAGGTCTTGATCAGCCTGTGTTCACTGCATCGGCTGCTGCTCAATAAATGCTTTGATTTTCAAATTTTCCACCTTGTTTTCAAATTTTCCACCTTGTCTTCAAATGGTCAAATGGACTCACTCTTCAGAGGGCCAGTACTGAGGGAGTGCGGCACTGTCAGAGGGTCAGTACTGAGGGAGTGCTGCACTGTCCGAGGGTCAGTACTGAGGGAGTGCCGCACTGTCAGAGGGTCAGTACTGAGGGCGTGCCGCACTGTCAGAGGGTCAGTACTGAGGGAGTGCCACACTGTGAGAGGGTCAGTACTGAGGGAGTGCCGCACTGTCAGAGGATCAGTA